ACTCACAGAGATTGGCAGCCCCAAATCTGTATTCAGTAATTGTGTAGCTAAGCAGGTTCACATTATCTTTCGATAGAGTAACAAACACTGTACTAAAAGATAAACCTATATAATCACTGTTTATAAAATAAATCCCTATATCCATCTAAACAATGTGTAAAGTTTAATTTGTAATATGTTTTCTACTTCTACTTAGTGCTTTATTAATGGAGTGACCACTGTGTTTGACCTATTTGCTGAAATTCGCTAGAACTCCAGGAGACCATATGGATGACCAGATGGGTTGCTGTAATCTAATGTCATTATTCTAAGGATGAAGTAAGGTATAAACATAATTTGCATTCTTTTCCATCCTTCCTGCGTACCTTTTATTAGCTTCATTTTTAATTCAGACATCAGAAGGGAAGGTAATATCTTACTACCAAGGCTCAGATGCCAACTAATTACTACAAGAGACTCCAGTCCTGACATCACAGGCCAGGCCTCAGAACACTTCATCTTACCCAGTGACCCCACCATGGTGATTAATAGGTTGAGTGCTAAGCCCTAATGAGTGTGTCAGACCTTAGATGTTCTCCAGGCTAACGTAATTAGCGTTATGTTGAACAGAATATTTCCGTTACTTGGTAGACAGCCTCATTAAACTTCATACTAAACTTTATGCCTTTTCACCTTATGGTCTTTGAATTTATTCTATAATCATCAACCTAAAAGGTCTCTATAAATAGAGATCTTTCAAATATTAAAGGATAATTTAAATATTTTTAAATCAATTATTGATCTTCTTCTACAACAGCGAATCCTTATGTTGTACATGAAGTGTTTTTCAGGGATGCTTGCTGAAATGTAAGTTTTGGGACTCCACCAAGAGAAATTCTGCTAAAAAGGGGTTTGGGAGGAAATCCACAACTATGCATTTTTGACAAGAGACACATGATTCAGAAACAGGAAGTCTGGGGACCATATTTGAAAAAACACTACCACTTTGGTAATAGGACCAATATCTGTGTCTCAGATTAATTGAAACTATCAGATTTTTTTGTTCTAAATAGTTATTATATTTCTGAAAAAAATTATCTGCATCCACATAAAGGGGACTATTTTCATATTGAGATTACAATTTTCAATGTACCAACTATTTCTTTTTTTTTTTTTAAGATTTTTATTTATTTATTTGACACAGAGAGAGAGATCACAAGTAGGCAGAGCAACAGGCAGAGAGAGGGGGGGAAGCAGGCTCCCCGTGAGTAGAGAGCCCGATATGGGGCTCGATCTCAGGACCCTGAGATCATGTCCTGAGCTGAAGGTAGAGGCTTAACCCACTGAGCCACCCAGGCGCCTCTCAACTATTTCTTATTAAAAGATTAAAACCAATTATCAAGAGAAGACACGAATGTTATTTGCAACAAACCATGTAAAGTATAATGAGTTCTCCATTAACCAGTGGATATGGCAGGTAATAACATTTCTATCCTACAGGCCATGGGCCTGGGATTGCTTTTCCACATTCAAAGGAAAGACCACAGTGTAGCAGATCTTCTGCAAATACTGACTTTTCCATGGCCAGAGACGATAAAGAAAATGTCTCAGTTCTGACAACTAACAATGCTAAGCAATATTCCAGCGACTTAGTGGATCTCACCTAGATATCACCATCATCAATTACTACATAAGTATCTTCATGTGTCCAACATTTGTTTTCTTGAAACAAGTAGAAAATTCCTACTGATCTTTGGAAAGATTTTTTCATCTATTACGCTAAACATTTTAAGGTATTTTTCTTTCCTGAATTGATAGCTACTTATTTAACCAAACTACATTTTTTTTTTTTTTTAAGTAGGCTCCATGCGCAGCATGGAGCCCAACACAGAGCTTGAACTCATGACCGTGAGCCGAGATCAGAGTCAAGATGACGAACTGAGTCATCCAGGCACCCCCAAACTACCATTTTTTTGATGAGCTTCAAAAGAGTTCTGTTTTGTGTTTTTTATTTATTTGCAAGAAAAAGAGAGAGAGAGTGAGAACAAAGGGAATGAGCAGAGGGAGAGAGACAAGCAGACTCTGAGCTGAGCATAGAGCCCAAGGCAACGCTCCATCGTATGACCCTGACACTGTGACCTGAGCTGAAATCAAGAGTCAGACACTTAACCAACTGAGCTACCCAGGCACCCCTCTTTTGTGTTTTTTTAAATATGTATAATATATATACATATATGTATAATATATACACATACATTATTATTATTATACATATATGTATATACATATATTATTATACATATATGTATAATATACACATATATGTATATATATTAAAATAGGAAATAAGGACATGAATAAATTGAAAAATTATTTAACAATAAATACATATTATAGGCATTTATGCATTATAATTTGATACTGAGATTTAATGGCTTGAGAAAAGAAATTATATCATTCTTCATTCTAAACCTTTCTGTAGATCCAGCCAGAGAGTGGAAGCTATCATATGACCATGGCAAGTCTATAAATATATCCTACTTTCATTGGATGAAGAATGATTACTGGAGTATCAGGCTCTGTCTGAGACTTACCGGATGCAATCCTACTCTATTTCTTCCTCTAGGAATCCTGTGTTTTCCAGCAAACCTGGCTCCCATCTTTATGTAGACTAGCACAAGAATTCTGACCAGTAGAATACGTGCAGAAATGTTGTTTACCCTTTCCAGGCCTGGCCCCCAAAATATCCCACATGATCTTCCATGTTATTTGTGTCCATTTTCTGCCTAGCGAAGAGGAGCAGATTTTGGAAACACCACAAAGTCTCATGTGATGGCACAGCCACCAGATGAAACATTGTTTGAGCAATAAGTAAACTTGTATTCCTTTGAGGTACTGGGACTTTGAGGTTTTTTGCTTTAAACTAATAAAGTCAATTAAGACTTGACTTAATGAAAAAGTTATACAAATTTTTCTCTTGCTTATGAGTTAGTCAACTACTTATTCAACATAAAATTATGACTGCATAGGTCAAACTCAGTAGACTTCTATGAATTCACTAGAGGAATCTGTTTCAGTTGTATTTAAAAGGCAGGTAACTACGTAACATTAGCACATTATGGAGCTCAGGACAGGGCGACTTGTATGTTTTTCTAGTAAAACATTATTAAATAGACAACTAACCCTTCCAATAAAGGAAAAAAACAGGTACACAGTATCTATTGTTTCTATATAATCAGAAATAACACAGTTAGAATCCTTAAAGCAATGTCCAAAGGAGATACTCAGAATGTGTTTTAGAAGCAGAATTTTTCATTGATATACTCAAACAGCATTTTAAAGACACCTTTTAGTAGTGGAACAAAAATGCATCCATTTAACCTAAATAAAAAGGGTAAAGGAGACATACTAGATTAATGTAACATTGCCAACATATAGAAAGTAGAAAAACACATACCAATATGCACGCACGTGTGCATGCGCACACACACACACACACACACACACACACACAGGATCATTGGAGGACCACATTTTCACCATAGAGAGAGAGTATCCTGTAGATTATTATGTCACTGACAAATGACCTTGGTGGGGGTTGCACCTGAATTCGGTCTCTAGAAGCCCGGCCTAGATCTGGCTCTATCACTTTCCAGAGGTAAAGAGGAAGATACGAGAAAGGGAGAAGAGCACATGACTCAATATTTTGAGTCTTGATTTCTATCTGCCACTAATGAGCTGTTTGTCTTGGGAAACTATTTTATGTCTCTATTTCTTCAGTTATAGAATGGAGAGAAAATAATACTTATGCACTGCTAAGAGGATTAAATTGTATGACACACAGCAAGTATTTAGAGAGGACTTAGCTGAAAGTAAATACTAATAAATATTGGATATTATTATTAATGGTATTTCCCTATCACTATGAGCCATATTACCCCCAACTGTAAGGTAAGAAATTGTGCTAGATGATTTGTATAATTTCTTCCAATGCTTATATTCTGAGTCTACACCTGTCTCCTAAAGTCAAATATCCATTTGAAAAATGAAAACTCTAAAAACCTAAATATTTTACATAATGACTTTAAAAAATGTGGAGACCATCTGGTCTGCTGTTTAGATTGATTTCAAGAAAATAAATGACATAATAATGCACTAATAATTCCAATTTTTTTAAACATTCAAAAGTGATATGGTTCTTTGATTTTTCTCCCTCATGAATCTTACGCTCATCTGAACATGAAAAATAACAAGATAATTGTCAGGCAACCGTTTACATTTAAAAATGTCATATTTAGAGCTGCCTGGGTGGCACAAGCAGTTAAGTGTCCAACTCCTGACTTCAGCTCAGGTTAAGATCTCAGGGTTGTGAGATCAAGGCCCACATTAGGTCTGCAATCAGTGGGGGGTTGGTTGGAGATTTTCCTTTTCCATCTCCCTCAACCTCTCACTCCTTTCTCTCTCTCTCTCCTTCTCTTAAAGTAAGTAAATCTTTTTTTTTAAATGTCATATTTAAAGAGTACTACAGAAATAAGGAATTATTTTGATCACACAAACTGGAATGGATCCAGAATGTACATGATAACACTCCATTTCTGCAGCTGCAGGCTTACAGATCGTCAACAACTGGAGTTTCTTTCTCATTAGGAAGAAAGCATTTCTACCAATGGTAACAATGGGAGGAAATGATACACTAAAACTGCGGTGTAGACTTTATTCCATTCTTAAATAGAAAGGTGCCTCCTTTGGAAATTCCATAATTTAGTAAACATTACTTTGTTCAAATAAATCCTCATTCTTTAATAAATACTCTAGTAATACTAAAGAATGAAATGAATAGGTCAAAATGCAGAATCAATAAAATTATTAAAAATTCATTTGGGATTATATTTTTGGTTTGTTTTAAATGACTACAACACAAAAACAGGGCTATAATATACCAAGACATTACATGTAAAGCACTGTGGCACTGAAGCATTGTTTTCTGAATCTGAAATTCCATTTATTCCCAGAAACCTTACCTCCTGCGTACATAACAGCCAGCATAATGGATGATATCCAGGCTATTTCACTGTAAGTAGTGTTGAATATTTGCTGAATTTCTTTGAAGAACACTGTGATAGCTTTGGGGAATGCATATGAAAATCCAATGGAGATAAAAGATGCTCCAACCACTACCCAGCCCCAGCCTCCATCAGGAGGTGGGTATAGGGGGGGACCTACTGGTGGTGGCATTTCTGCTCCTCTATTCAAGATTTAAGTCACCTATTTAAAAAAGATGAAATAACAGTTTAAACCTTATTTCCATTTTCAGATATTACTCTTGATAGTCACCAAAATATTTTACAGTTATAAGTATATAATTTCTCATGAATATTTTTTAACTCTTATACTCAGAAAATTAACCAAAAACTGGAATGAGGTATGTAACTTTGTTGTGGGCTAAAAATTGAAAGCATTTAATTTGTTTATGGAAATAAAAACTACTCAAAAATTACTCAAAGAATTCAGATCTGTACTGAAGTACCAACCCAAAAATAAAAGCTATCTCTATCCGAATTCTAAGCATAATAAAAATGGAGCTGTCATCACTTAAAAACAGAATACTTTCTTAATCCAAAATATTTAAGATTTTTCTTTACAAAGGTTAAAAAGGACCACATATTGAATCTTATGGACTTTAAATAACTAAATAGTAGATTTTTTAATTATTAGAAATATTCTATTAGAAATAATTTATAATTTTTCTACTTTTAATAATTGAGAATACTTAAAAATAGTTCAGCATGGATCTATTTTCTAGACCCGTAGCACTAGAAGTTTTATGGTTTTAATCAATTAATTTTACTGCACTTCTCAAAATGGTGCTACTTATTATTTCATGAATGATATATTTTATGCATTTTTCATAGCAATAAGAGTCTTCCAAACAAATAGATGGTATGTTATCATTTGTTAGAAGAAAGGACTTCCTCTTTGAATATGCCTAAGAACACAACTGCTAGCTTTGTGGCATAAGAGCATGCATTCTCCTGAGGAAGCAAGGATCACAGATAGCTTCACACAACTGAAATTAAATTAAAAACATCTTCGTTCCCTAACATCAATGTTTCTTTGTGCAGTAATGCTGTTTGATTAGCTTTTAGCTATAACTGCCAGCATTTTTCAGTATCTTCTTCCTACTACTCTCATTTTATTTGTGAATATGTTTCAACTGAAAAAAAAAAAAACAATTTTCTATTGGTAAAATAATGTTGGAAATAAGTTAATAAAATCTAATTTTGCCACATGTTTTCAGAAAACCCACCAAAAACCTAAAGATATATCTATGAAAACAGAGACAGGTTTAATTTTTTTTTACTGTCAAATTATATCAAGGATATTTTCAGCGACCCTCTATATGCACTTTTTAGATTCTGAATGAAAATATTCTCTACATTAAACTTTTCAAATTTGTCCATAGTTATACGAAAGGACTTGGCTTTCAGAAGTTCATAGAGTAAAAATGATAAAAATGAAATTTAAAATAGGTAGAGAAGTTCTCTGAAATTTTCTTGTTTGCATAAAAGAACTTTTCTTTCATTATCAATTCATGGCTTTAAACTATCATAGCTTTTATCACATCTGCTATTGTAAACACTTAGAAATACAACTGGATGATTTGCTTCTCAGTCACTTCAAAAAAATTTTTTCTAAATAATCTTAAATACATTATTTAAATATCATATCAATATGAATATTGAAAGGTACTAATATTCAAATCATGTTATGAATATGAACACTGAAATTTACTAATGAGATAGGCTGATGTTGGAATTTCTATTGTGTGGACAGGCACTGTGTTCATAGTTCAAAACTGAAGGGCCTTAAAAAAGATTATGTGATTGAGCTATCTTTTTTTCCTCCTTAATCCTCCTCCTTTTTTGTATGGTTATTTTTTTCACCGGTTTATCTCTGTATGTGGTATTTTGTATCTGTTTCCAGCATATTGACTTGACTTAAGTATAACTGCATACTCCAGGTTGAGAGTCATTATTCATGCCTTTTCACTTCCCTATCCCCTAGCAATTTAGTTTTTTTCCATATAAATTGATATCTTATGATCTCCTCACTAAAATAATTATAGAGTGGAGTCTAACCAATTAACCCTTAAAAAATTTCACTTCCAAGATTACCACCTGTTCATTATTAAACAACTCTTGGTTTGATCAGTAGTCAAGATCCAATTCATACACACTCACTGGTGTGATGTTATTCTCCTGTGCACTACCATGTAATATTTTCCACAACTAATACCTGTGGTGTCTCTTTCCTTTTATTTATGGAAATAATCAAGAATAGCAGGAATTAAAAGTGTAATTTTACCTGTTGATAGATGCCAACTTGAATAGATATTTTTGGATTATCTGTGGAATTTTAAGTCTAGTCACTGTTCCTTGAAGTGATATGTGAAGGCAATGCAAAGGGAGAGAGGTAGAGCAGACTCTGGATTATCTAAAAGGAAAAAACAAAAAAACAAAGGTTACCTGTATAATTGAGTTCCATAAGCCCCATTAGAGCCACTAGCTTTAATTTATCCCAGGATATTATGACCATGTTTTAATAATTAGCAAAATTTCTTTGTCAATCCACTGATAGAACTGCTAATGTATGAACAAAACGATCAAACATATATTCATGAGAAAAGAATTATAAGTATAAAATGAAGAAATAGGTTTTTAAAAAATAAATAACATTAGATCGCACATCTACCATTATGAGAAGGAAATTTATTTATTTATTGGCATTCATTAGCTGCCCCTCAAATAATTTCCTACACTCATTTAAATAATTTACAATTCAGTTAAAGAAACTATCCATTGACAATGGAAACAGAAAGTTCAAAAGAGAATTATTAGAAATATTATCAAACAAACTGAGGGTTTGGGGACTATGTTTGGGGAGTGGGGTAGCCAGGTGATGGGTATTAAGGAGGGCATGGTTTGTAATGAGCACTGGGTGTTAAATGCAAATAATGAATCACTGAACACTACATCAAAAATTAGTGATATACAGTATGGTGGCTAACTTAATAAAATACTGTCAATAATATGTCTCACAATGAGACAGACTGGTTATGAAAAGGACTAAAAGCATTTTAGGGATCTTCTGATTTAGAATTAAAACTTCCTAATCAGATCTGGGTGATGGATATATTCAAATTCCCAGATATATCAAATACATTCATTTCAACTTAAATCTTGTGCTGAATACATAAAAGCTAATACTTAGAGTTTGTTTAGGTTGGACATTCCTTTGCCCGGATTAAAGCTGAAAAAAAGTCAACTCTGAACTAAATAACCAGTTCCCTGCTTTGCATGTAGGGCCATGTATCCTAAAGTGTTGAAAAAAGCAATGCAGTCACTAGGCTAACTGAGATTTGAATGAAAGGATGAGGAGAGGCTGTGATCTATTTGCCAAGTCAGTGAGAAACTGAGAGTCGGGACTAGAATGATAGGGAATTATAAAGTCATGAATAAAATCTGAGAAATGGGTAAGACTGAAATTAAAGGTTTTTTTTAAAGATTTATTTATTTATTTTAGAAAGAGAGAGAGAGAGAGAAAAACAGGAGTGGGGAGAGGGGCACAGGGAAGAGGAGAGAATCTCAAGCAGACTCCCTGCCGAGCATGGAGCCCCACCCAAGTTTCCATCCCAGGACCCTGTGGTCATGACCTCAGCTGAAACCAAGATTCATACACTTAACCAACTGACCCACCCAGGCATTCCTGAAATTAAAATTTTAACTAATGCTCAAATTAAAAAGAGTTTATGCTAAATGGGTCTCTTAGGTCTGGGGTTATAGCGGTGAGGAGAAACATCTGTTCTGGTCTTACCAGGAGCCCTGGTAGCCTTCTTAAGCTGGGTAATTCAGCGATGGCAGCCCCATCCTACTACTTATAACCAGCTCATCCAAATGCAGAAAACCCTTTTATGTTTTGAGGAAATAAATTTCCTGTCAGTTTCCGCTGGCAGAGAGAGCTGCCCTGAGTCCAGGGCAAAGCCTCAGAAGAAAGCCTGAGGCATTTCTGAAAATTGGGCTCTGATCTTCCAGTCTATACTTAATTATCATCATGCTTTATAGAGGTCAGCATAGAGGCCACGATAAGAGATCTTGACAAGTCCCCATTCTAAATGCTGTCCAACATTTCTACAAACCTTTCATAGTGCTTTAACCTGACTAGTCTATTTTCTTACAGAAAGACCAACCCATATCCATGGCTTTTTTCCAACAAAATGGCCCCAAATCCTAGAAGTTATAACTTCCTGCGTGGTAGTTATATTAATCTATTTTACATCCCTTTCTCTACATCTATTAAACTATCATATTTTAATACATGTTTATGCAAATATACTCATATGGCCCATATATTGGTTTTCAGTTTTAAAAATGAAAAGTGTGTTTTGGAATTGTGTGTCCTACTGAAAAAACAGTAGAAGATCAACAGTCCTTAAGAATATGGGAAAGTTCTCCTTTAATTTGGGAAAGCAACTATTTTGGAGATTGCTTCCCAAAGTCCAAGGAGGCATAAAGTTTATTGGCCCCTACAAAAGCTGTGTTAATTACTACAGCTAGAAGTTGGACTATGCTCTCAGCTAATTTGGTTTCTTGACAGTTTGCATATATGCAACTTGTTTCATGGTAACTCTTACTTATAACAGGATGCACACACACACACACACACAAAAAATGCTTAACTGTTTTTCCAAAGATTCAATTAATTATAATAATCCCATGAATGAAGATGAAGTGATGTTTTTAATCATACTTAGAGATGAGGGCATAAAGAATCAGAGGTGCAAAGTGATTTTTCCAAAGTCTAATGCCCAGTGATTAAATTGGTACTGTGGACAGTATTTTTGTTAGGCCCATTGTTACTGATTCCACTTTAACCCAGCACCTTAGAGGCTGCTCTTTCTGCTTACAAATATACTCCAGTTTTATTTCCAATGGTGAATTTCCCAATTTCAATTCTTGCACATATCCTTGCCTTTCCTGTCCATTGGAATTCTAATATTTGTCCTTTGAAATTCTGAACCTCAACTATCCCTCAAAGTCTTTATAAATTCATCATTATTTCACCTTATTTACATCTACGCTGTCTATAATTTTTTTTTAGTATATGGACTACAATATATCACTATCATTGACAAAAGGGTGACTTAATGACTACTGAAAACATTTGTCTATTTCAAGTGTTTTTAAAAAAACTTACATGGTGGGATGTGGTAAAGTCCCAAACCTTGCCTTATCTTCTAGAAATCAATATGGGTTGATTAAACTAAGGAGAGGAAGATGTAGCACAAAGAAATAATAAAACTATTAGTGATGATCAATGGTTAGACTCTAGTATTATATTTAAAGTCGTTTCTCATTTAGTTGTACAGAATATCAGAATTTCCTTTATAGACTTTGTGAATAATTATTTCTTCAACTACCCAAATCTAAATCAGGATGAATCAATTTTATGAACCCTTATCAACAGTCAAAACTATCCAGAAGTTTATGTTTCAAAATATAGTCCAGAAATAGTGCACTCAGCAAACTAAGTCCCAAATTAAATCAATGAATGTTAGGAGACTATTGACTTCGTTGTAAATTAATCTAGGTAGCCTATAGATAAAGCATGACTTGTTCTTCACATCCTACCTATAAAGTGGCTGGGTGTTTGCCTAAAGGAATTACTATGTTCCTTGAAGAATAATGAACTAGTCTTTATGCTTTTTGTTTCCTTTTTCTTATACAAAAGGATAAAGTAATGTCAAATTAATCTACAATGTTCCAGTTTAGATGACAACCCACCGAATTTTGTAACAGGAATTAAACTGAACCAAATCTTCTCTTTTCCAACAGGTAATTGAATTAAAATTGGAATCTAATCCTGAGAGGTTATTTTATTCTTCCTGATGGACCATGTTTTAAATCCTATAGACAGATTTACTTTGACAACTAGACAAGAGACATATCAATAGTGCATGGCCCACAAAATGTCAGTAACACGAAACCTATTTTTAGATGTGAACTACTGCTGTAGTTAAAAGGACTCTGAGAATGCTAATTGATAATAAAGGTCAAACTAACTAAAGATGTTTTTATAATGGGCAAATTAAAAAAATAATGTAAGTCAGCAGATATTTATAAGGAATTGGAAATGGACATCTCACACCAAACAATTCCTGATTTCTAATACTGTATTTTAACAAGTGTGTAAAAGCAGTTGTTGTGGGCTGAAGAGGGGCCCTGGAAATTATATGTCCGTGTCCTTATCCCTAGAACCTGCAATATATCTTACATGGTCCCAGAAACTGAGTGCTTGTGCTCCCTCAAAATTCATTATGTTGATAACTAATCCCCAGTTGCGAGGTATTTGAAGGGAGGGCCTTTAGGAGGCAATTAGGTCTGCAGGGTGAAACCCTCATGAATGGGATTAGTGCTGTTATAACGAGGCCCCAGGGAGTCCCTTACTCTCTCTACCAGTGAAGACACAGTGAAAAATGGCCATCTATGGGGACGCCTGGGTGGCTGAGTCACTTAAGCATCTGCCTTCAACTCAGGTCATTGGGATGGAGCCCTGCTCAGCAGGGAGCCTGCTCCTCCTTCTACCTGCCACTCCCCCTGCTTGTGTGGTCTCTTTCTCTCTGACAAATAATAAACAAAATCTTTTTTAAGAATTAAAGAAAAAAACTACAAATCCACATTAAAAAAAAAAAAGAAAAGAGAAGAGAAGAGAAGAAAAGGAAAGAAGAGGAGAGGAGAGGAGAGGAGAGGCGGAGGCGAGGCGAGGCTGGCTATGAACTAGGAAAGGGCCCCAGCCAAACACTGAATGCAGGCACTTTGATCTTAGACTGAGCCTCCAGAACTATGAGAAATAAATTTCTGTTATTTATAAGCCACCTAGTGTGTGGTATATTGTTTCAGCAGCCCTAACAGACTAAGATAAAAATTGGTACTTGGAAGGGGATGTTGTCATAACAAACACCTAAAAATGTGAAAGTGGCTTTGGAATTGGGTAGTAGGTAGAAGCTGGACCAGTTCTGAGATGCATGTGAGAAAAAGGCATTATTATAAAAAGATTATTAAGGGTGATTCTGGTGGCAGCCAATTAAGAAGAGACTAAAAAAAGCCTGAGTCTTCTTCAAGAATACCAAAGTTAATCCTGAATAGCATGTTTATAGAAATCTGGAGGGTAAAGGCCACTCTGCTGAGGTCTGACGGAAATCAGGCATATATTATTAGACAGTGAGGGAAAGGCAGTCCTTGTTATAAAGGGGCTAAGAACTTGGCTGAACTGTGTTCATCTTCTACCCCAGGGAAAGGGCTGTCCCAAGAATCCTGAGAGTGTTCTTGCTAACTGTGAGAGCGGCGAAGATGAGACCATAGCCCAGTGGGTCCAGAAGGCAGAGCATCCAATGAGAGAAGATTATTCTTGATCTTTAAAATTTAATGTTGTTTGCT